TTTAAACCTTTGCACTGGGAGAAAGCAACAAATCCAACAGAAAGTGTAGTAGCTCAAACACGTGACATTGTTCTAGGAAACTTGCAGGTGAATAAATGGTAGGTTTGAGTACAGAAATCTCACCCATAACAATGCTCCATCCAAAACTAACACCCCCGCGCCATCTGACTAAATCAATTTTGGCATTTGAAAAATACAGAATCAGAAACAAAAAGCAGTGAAATGAATGAGAACTACTTAAGTCCCTTCAGTATATTGTCTTTTGTTGTGTTTCTGCCTTGCCTTTAAGAACGGCATGCTTAGTATCCCACCAGCCCTCTGAGGAATGAGCAACCACTCCTCCTTCTAGCCCTACAGTGGAACAAGGACTAGACCATGGGATTCCCATCTCAAAACCAAGCTGTCTAGACAGTGTGCCCCTTACTTGACTCTTACTTTCACCTGGATCCAGTAGGTGACATCTATATGCAGAGCCTCTTGCCTGAATCGGAGCCACCTGCATGTATGCCCAGGCCAGATATTCACATTGAGGGCACTGGGGCAATGCACACCTGTTTCCGTGCCACACTGAGCAGCAGTTGGGGCTGTCCCATCTGCCAATGCCAAGCAAGTTGGAGAGGGATGATGGAACGGTTGGGCTGAAACCACCACCCAGAGGGGAGTCCAGTGCCGCCCGTGCGGATCACACCCACTCTGTGCTGATACACATTTGAAGCAATCTGCAGGGAGCTCATCTTGGCTCACCCCGTGCCTCCGGACTTTTGGGCTGGTTTACATTAGGAAATATCAAATAAAACGGAATTACAAAACGTCACTGTCAATGAGCAACGAAACGGCTTCAAAACAAACTGAAGAAATGCTCTCTAAACGATAACATGATCTGCAGCCTGATTCCGAATTACAAAACGTCACTGTCAATGAGCAATGAAACGGCTTCAAAACAAACGGAAGAAATGCTCTCTAAACGATAACATGGTCTGCAGCCTGATTCTATGCATATGGCCTGCAGCCTGATTCTATGCATATTTACTCTACAATAAGTCCCAGTTTCAGTGGCGCTCTTTCTCCAATATATATGCATAGAATTGCAGCACCTGTGGTTTTAGATGCTGCAAAGGGAGGCAGAGATGAAGAAAAGTGAAGTGAACTACAGGAACAAAAAGGCTAACAGAATGTTTGGTCCTTGTAAAATATTCTTAGAGATGCCGTACTAGCAGTAATAACAATAAGCAGTTATATCCTGAGTCCATTTGGTGTTAAGGTCTCTCTCAGTTTAGGATTGCACTGACTGATATACTGAATAAACACGAAAAGCTGCAGACCTACAGTGTCTCCCTAAGCAACGATTCACCTTTCTAATTCCATTAAAGTAAATGGGATTAGAAGGATGTAACTGTTTAGGATGGCTCTGATGCAGAGTTAATCCGTAACAGAATGGATTAGATCAGGGACAATCTCAAAACAATCTTTTTGGTGCAGGACACATTGAGTATGATCGATTTCCTTGTAAAGTTTTGTCTGAGTCATCATTTAGAATGTGGGAATGTAAATAAAGATGAAATAAGGACGGCCCTCCCTCTGTAGACCCCTTGTCCCTGCACACTGTGCCAGGATGGCCTCAGCTATGCCCCCTTCGGTCTTGCTGGACCCTATTATGAAAGCAGCGTCCAGCTCTTAAGGGGGAAAACAGTTACATATCTTATTTAGTTAGGATGATGCCGGCTGGGATCCACGGGAAAAGAAATCTAGCCATTTACTGAAAAAGAGAAATGAGATCCCAGCCCTTAAAAAAAAAACAACCCAGATGTTTAAATTTAAAGTTAGATACAAGATAATTTTACAGAAAATTAAAGCTGTGGTGAAATACAGATTTAGTGGGAAGATAACCCCCCCCACCAAGTTTACACATTCAGTTTCTGTGCCAATTTTAAAGAGGGGATATGCTGATGTGACGGACAGCCACACGTTCCAGTACCCCAAGTGTCACCTGAAGATTAAATGCCGAAGAAGTTTGCATCATCAGTGGCTTTTTTCTTTCAGTGTGTCCAGCACATATTTAAGAAATATTCCAAACATTTATTTGAATAGCTGGTTAAAGGATAGCACATTAGCTTGTTTGGCCCAAGAAGGATAATTGGGGGGGGGGGGCTTATTACAGCAGAACGCCCAGATCAGAGTTCTTAAGGGCCAAATCTGATGTGAGAGGAGAATCCAAATATATTTACATTAAACAAAACAAAACCCCAAAACGTGAGCACACGGGTGAGGGAAGCTAAACCCTGCTCCTTCCTAGCCTTGCTAGATTTAATTCATTTCAGAACTTCTTTTCCCACCCTGCTTGCTTGTTTTAATATAGCCAGGTTGAGTTTAAAAAAGTGCTTCAAACAATGGAACACAAAGGGGACCCTGAAATAGTAGCATGGTGCAGCGCCCCCCCCCAAAAAGCCCAATTCACTTCCAGCATGGGAAATCAGGCCTGCACACTGAATAGCCCATGCTGGTCCCATTTCAGTTGTGCTGACCAGCAGGGACAGAATATGGGAAGAGCCCTGCTGGATCAGACCAGTGGCCCATCTAGTCCAGCATCCTGTGTCACACCGTAGCAAACCAGTTCCTCTGGAGGTCCAACAACAGGGCATAGAGGCCGGGGCTTTCCCTCATGTTGCTCCCTGGCTCTGGGACTCAGAGGTTTACTGCCTCTGTGGAAGCATGACTAACAGCCACTGACAGACCTATCTGTCTTACATGAGAAGGGGGCTTGACTGTTAAGATCTCAAACATGTGAACCCTCAATATGCCCTAAAATTATGGCTGTTACTTAATGAGACAGTGCATTTCCTAATGAAGCGCCACAAGCCACATTTGCCTCTTCAGAGTGTACATTTTGATTTGGATGTTGCTACCTGAATTTGCAAGAACCCGCCGCGTATCGTTTATCTCCAGTAAATCTAATTCCAAACGCTGGCAGATACTGTTTCAACCGATTTTGCCTTCCCCAAAACCCTGTTCTGTGGCTGCTAAAAGTAATAAAAGGAAACCTGTTAAGCTTAAATCACCTAATGAAAAGACCATCTTCTTATTCATATCCCATTACTTTGTTTTACTTATTACTAACGCAGCTCTGAAATGCTGATGCCACAGAATAAAACATGTGGTTAAATGTGCAGCTAGCAAATGGCAAGGGGAGAGAAGAGCCTGCTTTTATGGCTTTACGACACTAATCTGGGGATGAAATGTGCCAGGCAAGCACTTCACACGTGCCAAGAACAGCGAGCTGAAATGTGCACAGGGAAGTTAACATATTGAGAGCTTTTGGGAAACAATCTTTTTAATTCCTAGAAGGTATCTCTTGCATTCACGCTTACATTAAAACAGTGAAGAGAAGGGGTTCAACCCTGCAAACACTGCTGGCTGCACATCTTTCTGTTTGTCTCAGGGGGCTTGCATGGGGGATGGAGACCATGTGGAGAACCCCTCTAATGTTATTGGTATATGTTGCAGCTGAACTCGGTGGATTGTGCTCAAGAATTCAAGCCTTCCCCCCCCCCCATTCTGCAAACCACTTTGATCTTCCTCTTTTGGCCAAATTAAGCTAAGTTATGGATTTTTAAAAATCTTAATTTAAAAAAAAAGACATTTAGAAAGTGTGAGATCTCAGAACCTGGACCGGGATCCTGAAAACAAGAGAAAAACCTATGAACACACCGCTCTGTAATTCAAGCCATCTTTCCCCCTTCCATTTAAGCCTCAAGCGAGTCTCAGTCTCCTGGAGTCAGCGAGTGGCAGAGGCCGCCTCCTCCTCCTCCGTGTGGACCAAGGGGTGCATCTGGACATTGCTCCTTCTCTGTGTTTCAAAGGGAATTAATAGTCACAAGCAGTAATTTCAAAAGCACTCACTGGCAAGTAAGACAGTTCACGTTAATATGGCTACTCATGATGGGATTCCAAAGCAAGGGAGTGATAGCTCTGAATCATTCTGCAAATTCAAATATGCGAAACAACTTCGACTTTTGAAGACCTGCGCTAAGCGATTTATTCTGATATGCTCAAAAGCCATTAAAAGAATCCCTTTTCTGGTCTTTAAAAATAAGATATATTTTGATAAAGGAATCTAAAGAGACAGAACACATGGATAAATGCATTTTCTCCTCTAACTCTACCAAAAAAAAGCAGGGGGGAAAAGAGATCAACATCGAAGAAGCTGCCAACAGGGGCTTTCAACTCCCGTTGAGAAATTCCATTATTTGGCTCCCCCTCCCCCCCATTATGGCAGTGATCACAATAAAAGTTTGCTGTGCTCTTTGGAACCCAGGGCCCCCGCTATCGTGACTGACTCTCCCTCCAAGTTGTGATATGGACTCAGATCTGCTTCTATTCATTGCACAAAGTTGAAAAGTAAACAACAGTTAAAAAAAAGCCTCCGCTCGGCAAGGCGCAGCGTGAAGCAGCATGGCCTCTTTATGCGAGATGCCTGGACCTTGTGTTTACCAACACGTGTTGCATTGTTCTGCGGGCTTGCCTGGCCTTTGTAAGGACAATCCCAAAGCTTTATTCTTTTTAATTAGGCCCCCTGCTCCTTTTATTCAGCCCTGAAAAGTTACAAAACATGAGAGAACACTGTGTAGCTGAAGATACATTGAATGCACTGCTCACCCACAACACTGCATATTTCCTATGGACAAGGTGTATGTGTGCTTTTGGCAAGTGAAATTTAGGGCTTCAAGGCTGTAAAAGGAACCAGAGGGATTGTTCGTGTCAATTAAACCAAGGCCTCAATGTATTATTCTTTCTGAATATCATAAAACAAGAACAAAATACACACGGTTTAACTGTTGAACTTTAACTGGCAAATAGAAGTTTGCAAAGACCCTATCAATATGTGGTTACAACAGAAGACACACGGTTAAAGTCAGGTCACGGTTTCCAACAATATTCACAGGGACCGAGGATAACAAAACAGAGAGATCCCTCTGGGAACCTTCGAGGATGACGAGCTGTGTTCACTGTGGAAGTGCCTTGAGTATGGCGTTGACTTCTTCAGCCACCGCTGTCAATGCAAACTCAAACTGCTCCTGTGGACAAAACAGTCGTAATTAATGCTTCAGAGCATTCCCAGGAGCCTCAGAGAACTATTTAGCAAAGATATCTAAAGCTAACTGCAGAATGAGAGGCCAAAGGGAAAAGGCTGTGACCCAAAAGGCCAAAACAACATGGGAAGCTCAGAGGAATCACAACAGCAAAGAAGCTGGCTGTAATCAGGATCCAGCTTCTTCCAACATGAACAGGCAAACTGGACTGATGCTCAAGAATTCAAGCCTTCAATCCTTAATGCATATACATGATTACTGTTTTATCCTGGGTCACTGCGGAAGCTCTGAGCAGTTCTACAGGGCCTCTCTCACCCAGTCACCGATCACATGACCTGCGTCCTGTCTGATTCTACCGTATCACGTTTCCATACCAGTAACTACTATGAGATACGTAGAACTTATCTTTGTAACTGGTACGTTTCCAGGCACATTCTATTCAACTCCCGGAAATGCATGCTGACAACTCACTTTGCAGAAGTGCACCTTTATTTAAATGGACGTTTCACTTAACAGCTGGGTGTACAGACACATCAGGGGTGTCTTCCCCCAATGTACTCCTGAAGGTTTTAAGATCCAGCCATGTCACACTCTGGGTACCGTCTTTCGTTGGCGCTCACGAGGAGCCCAGTCTTTGTACCAGCTGCCTTGGTGCTGTGCAAAGCTGTCCCTCAAGAGCTGCATTTGGCCCCGTTGTTTCCCTCTCTTAGGAAGCTGACAAAGAAAATATTTTGTTAGGGAGAACTCCCTTCAACCGCTGCTTTCCTGTCTGGGGTGAAGGGCTGCTGCTGCTGCTTGGTTTGTTTTTGGCTGAAGATAACGTTAGCACCAGCTATCATTTTTTAATCCCCCCCTCCAACTTGTAGACCATTCTGCAATGTAACACAGAGAAGTGTTTTAAATGTAAATGTTTGACAAGTCACATGAGACACAAACCTCCAGATAGTCATCGTATGGTATGTATGTC